CAAAGTCAGATGCTTAACCGACTGAGCCACCCAGGCACCCCCCATTCCCATTTTTGAAGTTGAGTCAGAAGGTTTTAAAATACACAAGCTGTGCTTATTTTGACAGTATATATCCCCTATTTACAAAGATGAAAGTTTTGTTTTGAAAGTTTTATTTTTGATTAATAAAATTCAGAAGTCCAGTGTTGCGTGAACCTATTTCCAACATGTCTACCTGTTGTGTTTGACGGCACCCTATATGAATTAGGGACACTGCTGGTAAGCTTTTCCCCATCAGCTAGCACTGAGTTCTCTGTCTGAGCTGGTTCTCCATCTTCTTGGCAGAGTATTCCTTCCTCTTACACGGAGTGAATTCAGCTTATTAGATCCCTGTAGAGTTTTGAGTCCTGGGCCTAGTGCTTTTAATAGTAGATAGTTGATTATTAATTCCTTTTTGTAATTTCATGGTAATTAAATAATTTCAGTATTGCTGTAAAAAGTCTTTACTAGTATTATATATTAATCTTTTATTATTTACATATAATTATCAGATTAAGGTTTGCCATTTTGTTTTTTTTTTTCCTTTTAACTTCATTGCATATGTGTAAGTTGTAAAATTCATGTTGACCTTACCTTTTATCAGGTAACTTGGAGTGATATAGCAGGTCTGGATGATGTCATTACGGATCTGAAAGACACAGTCATCTTACCCATCAAAAAGAAGCATTTGTTTGAAAATTCCAGGCTTCTGCAGCCTCCAAAGGGTATGGTAAAAGTTTACATTTGCTAAAGTATTAAAAATGTAGGAAACATTGAAACTTTCTGCCATTATAGAACTGGTATCGCTGAGGTCGGATGTTGAAGAGAATACTGAGATCCAGTGAGCTGTTTTATAAATAGTAGTTTTAAAATAATTGCTCATTCTTCAGCTTCCCAAATTTAGGTAAAATTTTTTCCCTGTGATTACATGTCAAAATAATCCCTTTGTTGCAAACTCATTTTTATTACTTCCAAGTAAATAAAAATTGGGAAAATTGAAATTAAAAAATCTAAAGTCATGGTATGGGTTCTTTTGTTTTCAAAGTAAGAACTCTTTTTGTTGTCTCATAATTTAGCGATATTGTTTTTTCCTCCTAGTAATCTTCATTATTTTTGGATTGCAGTGTTTTTTTAGAAGAAGTACTGGAGTACAGGTGAACTAGAAATTAAATGCTACTTATTTTTTAAGGGAAACTTCCTTATTCCTAGTTAGCGATGATTTTAAAAACCTCAGAACTCAAGAATTGGAAATGCTTATAACTCCTTCCTTATGTGTAATGCTTTTATTGTTGTCCACTCAAATATGAATCACGTTTAAACGTATTATGAAAGGTGATTCAGATGGAGCTTCGGTGACAGTTGGCAGTGAGATAAATACACGTGTGTTACCGTGGCTATCCCATACAAACGCTACAGCAGTGGAAAGAGTGGAAACTGCTCTTTCTTGTATTCCTCATACTAGACAGGTTTACTTTTCCACTGCTCTTCAAGGCTGAAACCAAATTATTAGACACATTACAAAAAAAAGATCTTTAGAAATATCAACATAGTGCTGTGTGTAAGTTATGGTTGCTTGTAATCTTATTAATTTTGCAGTTATATCAAAATGCATCAATTTACATTTCAAAAGTAATTGAAGCCGATACCTGTACACTTTCACAAAGTAGGTAATTTTTACTCCTGGTAAATAGAGGGTGATGATGACGTGTTCTTTTCATTAACTAAAACAGCAAAACTGTTCATTAGGTATTTTGTTTTATTTTCTGAAACAACAATACTTCCTTTTTTCCCCCCTAGCAAAAAGCATTTGGTTTATTGTGTTTTTAAAAATTTTTTCCCCAGAAGAAAATTGCAGATGATTTATCTGAGCCAAGATCAAAGAGTAAAGTACAAGTTGGCTTATTTAGTTCTTTACCCTCTTCCGGCTGGTTGGTAGTTTGAACAAGAAAGACCTTGTGTGAGTTGTCATCCCCTAGTTTCTTAATTCGTGAATCTAGAAAAGTCAGATGCAGGATGGGGCCCAGTTAGTACTTGGATGGGAGAAAAGTAAGATGCGTTTTCTGTGCTGTTCGGGAAAGCTCCAGCCCTCGTCAGCGACACCTAGCCCAGGTAATTGGGTCACTGTACCAGTCGCACTTGGTTTAAAGCCCCAGTCAATTAACACAGCAGGCACCAAATTACAATGGGATACTTCAAAGTTACGTGTATTATCTGGTGCTTCTTTGAAAGCATTGTCCAAAACTAGAAGTGGTTTCTGTGTGTATTTAAAAATTTTTAAGTTACCTGAGTAGCTCTTGATTATGTAATCTAAAGTTATACTGTTTGAGCCTTTTCAGCCTTGCATTTTTGGCAAGTTTTTTATCAGGAACAAAATTTGAAAAGCCATTGATTTACTTTTTGACCCTCAACATAAATTGGATGTTAGCAGACAGAAGCAGAGCGTAAAATCGGTTGGATACCGTAGTTTGTTCCATTTTTGAACTGGAAGTAGGTTACATAGGTTAGAGTCGTTGTTTTATTGCCAATTTTATGTTATCCCTGGACAGTTCGTTGCTGTCGGGGCTAAAAGTCCGCACTGCCTTAGAGACTACGCGAGGATGGTTTGAGAATGTCTTCCATAGTAGCACACGAGATCAGCCAATCACGTGAAGGTAGAAAGTTGGCAGCTGTCATGCCACCAAGTGGTCACAAGGACATGCCATAGAATGTTCATGGTTGCATTAAAAAAATAACCGTGTTTTCTTCCAAATGTTTAAAAATTTACATTGAGAATTCCATAGGAATACAAACAGTTCTCGCTAAACTCTAACTTCGGTAATCATTATTTTAGCACATAAATTTTATGTTTGTGAATTTTATCATGTTCCATGTTGTGATGTTTCTTGAAAATGTAGGTAACTTAGGAAAAATATATTTTGAGAAGTGATTTTTCTGGGGCCATAAAGGCCTCCATCCCTCCCTCCACCTCCTTGAGTACTTTGTATTTAAATAGACTCAGTTTTTACAGATACTTACTTTTCCACCATTTGGACAATTTTTTTTATTAAAGCTTGAAAGTCAATAAACTAGTTCAAAAAAGAAAAAAGTTGGTTACTGATAAGGTAATATACTTGTCACGAATAAGGATTATTTCAAACTTAGATCTTTTGTCCCAATTCTTCTTTTCTTCCTCACCCTAAAGTTTTTATTTGCATGTAGTACTTACGAAGTAAAGCCCTTACTAAAACATCCACATTAAAGAGGGGTTTGAATTTTTAGCCTCTGCAAAGCATGAAGGTAATAATCGTAGTTTTTCGTTTTGTTGAAAATGGTTGTGAAAGTACCAGACTGAGCTCAAAAAAAACTAGTTAAAAGACTGCAAAACTAATAACTGAAGCCGGATGCCTCGCATTCATTGTGGGACCATTCACGTATCACTCTTCCTAAGAATGAACAGGGTAGTGTTCATCCCACAAAGGATATAGGGAAGATGGCCCTTCAAACGGTGTTACTGCTAGACTCATTGATAATATGCCAGGTGAGACAACGTGAGTCTTAGTGAAGCAACGTGCAGAAGTGGGGATAAAACAGCCAAGTGGGTGACTGGAAAGCTGACACTTCCATAGCTACCACCCGAGTCAGGAAGTGAGCACTCCCTGCTCACACGTGCACCTCCCCTATCATGTCTGTCCTCCAGAAGATTATGAAATCCCAAAGCTTTCGACGCATGTTGAGTTTCATACTCTGTAAACAAAACAAAACTGTGAAAAAGCTGCCTAATTAATAACACTAATTGTAATTCCAGAAGAAAAATATAGGAAAAACTTAATCCTGCTAAGGAGTGCCAAAACTAAACTGTCAGGAATAGAGGACTCAAAGTGATGAATGAATACTTGGAATCAAAGAGGACATTCTAAGAACACTTGCCTCGGTTTGTGAGGCGTGCTGTAGCAGCACAGTCAACAAGATACGAGGACTTTTGCATCAAAAGTTTGCTCAGAAAACCCTAAGATTCAAATAACATGCATATAAAAGTTTGTGGATCTGCATTCCATATTAAATTGTATGATCAAAATAATAAATGTCGTAATAATTCCAGGCATCTGCAGTCACCCCGTATGTTTTCAGTTTGATGTGAATTAAATGGCATTAGACCACTGCTCTGTGGTGTTCACATGTGCCATCCAAAGGAAGAAGTATCGATAGGGGGTTGAAATTATAAATGACTTCACTACATTTTTTACACCTGAATGGACTTAGTTAAAAATTGCAAAGGGATGTACTGGCAAAGCTGATTGACTTAAATTTTAAAATGGCTTCAGAAAAGTAAGATGACTAAACTTCATTAATTCTTAAAGAATTATGAAGACCCCCTAGAAAAATCTGTGCGTGCCCGAGGAAAAGTTTGTGTGCCTGAACATTACTTTGAAGAGCTTGATGTGAAAAATATTTGTTTTATGGCATCAAGCTTCTCATTAAAAAGAAAAAAAGGAAAATTTAGGCAGGGTGGGATTTTAATACAAAATATTTACTTATATTTTTGTATTTTCTTAATGTTTATTATTCTTGAGAGAGAGACCGCGTGTGCACGTGAGCGGGGGAGGGGCAGAGAGAGAGGAAGACACGGAACTCCAAGCAGGCTCCAGAACTGAGCTGTCAGCACAGAGCCCAAAGCAGGGTTCAGACCCATGAGCTGTGAGATCATGACCTGAGCTGAAGTCAGATGCATAACCGACTGAGCCACCCAGGCGCCCCTATATTTTATTTTTATTGCATAATAATATTTTGGAAATCTCCAAAGTCTCTTCATATTACCCTAATATGCCACCTGTAAATACTGTCTTTTTAAGTGCTATGACATGGGAAAAGTAGAGAAGCTGTGAATGAAGCAAATATTTTAAGTCTGCAGGTTATAATATTCGTCAGGCCCGTCTACAGATAATCTATAGCCAGGAACATAATTTTACTATTAACATAGAAAAATGTTACTTAATTTTAGTTGCTAAACAGTTGGTGATGATTCCCAAAATGCCCAAGGCCTCGACCAGTTTAGATCTCTCCTGTTAAAAGAATTACCTTAAGTTGTATTAAGCGGCAGACTACTGTCTGTGGAGACGATAGGTGAAGGATTCAGTTTCATTCCTTGGAGAGTAAAACAAAAGTGACTGGCAGCTTTTGTCCTTTGGAAGAAGAGATCATTATCTGTTTGGAAAAAGACGTGTGCCCTTTTGGATAAAACTTAAGTCTCAGTAACATCAAAACGGTGTTTGCTGCAGCCTGTTTTTGTTGTTGTTGTTTAATGTTTATTTTTGAGAAAGAGAAACAGAGCACAAGCGGGGAGGGGCAGAGAGAGAGACGGAGACACGGAATCCAAAGCAAGCTCCAGGCTCTGAGCTGTCAGCACAGAGCCTGATGTGAGGCTTGAACTTAAAAACCGTGAGATCGTGACCTGAGCTGAAGTTGGACACCCAACCGACTGAGCCACCCAGGTGCCCCTCCCGCAGCCTGGTTTGAAGAAGTTCTCAGTTTTCTCTGGGCTGTTCTAATGTGCTGTAGTGCTCTGTTAGCTTGTGAAGGTGGAGGGCATTGGACCATTTTGTCAACCATGGATCGAGTGGCCTGAGTTTGGATGTCAAGGGGATCCTGAGCTAGACCTTTGCGTGAAGGGAGAAGGCACAAGCATGCTGTAATTTTATAGCCGTCACTGACACTGAACTTAGGAAGTGGCGCCTTCCTTTCCTACCATTAACATGTTGGGAAAATTTTAGTGTGGGCCGAATTAGTATGTTGATTATCACATAAAAAATGTAAATAATAAAACGACATGTTAATTTCCAGGAGTTCTTCTGTATGGGCCTCCAGGCTGTGGCAAAACATTGATTGCCAAGGCCACAGCCAAAGAAGCAGGCTGTCGATTTATTAACCTTCAGCCTTCAACGCTGACGGATAAGTGGTACGGAGAGTCTCAGAAACTGGCTGCTGCGGTCTTCTCCCTTGCCATAAAGCTACAGCCTTCCATCATTTTTATAGATGAAATAGGTATGCGACTTTTCTGTGTGAGCATTTTATAACGCCATTTTTAAGGGTGGTATTTAGATGACCAGATTTAGTTTTCAACATTTATTAGGGCAAATTAGTAATACAAAAGAGATCACCAACATCCTTATATGCTGTGTATAATTTATTCCAGAATGAACCATAATCTGTTCATTCCGCTGCTCGGTAGTAGTTTCCTGTCTTCTGCGTATTACAAACATCACGCGGTGGACATCTGTGTACGTGTTTCGTCATGTACATGTGCTTGTCCGGGCTACATGCCCAGAAGTTGAACTGTTAGGTTGTATGACATGTCTGTCTTCAACCTCACTAGGATTACCAGTTGTTAAAAGTGGTTTTACCTGTTTTCACTCTCTCTGTTATATAGTTTCCCTGCATACCCCTAAAATTTATTTTTTCAGATATTATCATTGATTGATTGATTTTTTTTTTTTTTTTTTTTTTGTCAAACTAAAGAACACGAATTATCATTGTTTCGTGTTTCCCTGCATTGCTAATAAATTTGGGCATCTCTTACCATGTTGACTAGTCATTGAGTTTCCTTGCTTATAAATTGTCAGTTTTTCTTTGGGGTTATTTGCATTTTCTTGGTAATTCTTTGTTGATATTTATTATGATTGCAAATATTTTCTAGACTGGCTTTTCACTTTATGATAATTTCTTTTACAGAAATTTAAATTTAAATTTAGTTGTATATATCTTTTTATCATGATTTATACTTTTTGTGTCTGGCTTACAAATTTCTTCCCTACCCCCATAAATATCCCTCTTTTCAAAATATATATTGTGAAGTAGGAATCTAATTTCATTCTTTTCCATATAGACAGCCAATTTATAAAATAGATTATCTTTCCCTGTTTGTTCATGACTTTTATGTTAGTATACTTTTTCTGTATTTTGTGGATCATCAGTATTTTTGGTTCTGCTCCTGGTATGGTAAGTCATAATAAAGCTATGGTGATTGAAACTATAGCTTTGAATTATACTATTATATGTAATGTGATAGACTATACAGAAATATAGAGAGAAAAATGGTATAGATATATAATACTTTGGTTACTTGTCTGTCTTGTGTGTCTCATCAGTTTATTACAGCTATTTTGGAGTTTTGGTGTGAATTTTGCATAAAAGTGGTTATAGCTAGATTTAAAAAATTTTTAATCTAAGACACTTTAACCAGGAGGTGTGGTCAGTCTACCTTTATTTTGATAGCTCATGTATTTAGATTTATTTCTGCCACATTACATGTGCTTTTTTATTTACCAATCTAGTGGACTTTTCTCACTTTATCCCCTTTTCCCTGCTACAGGTTTAGAAGTAACATATTCTTTTTCTTTAGTGAAACATTTAGAATACCTACTTGCCTTGAAAGTCTAGGCTAATCATTTCTGCCCTCCTCCCAAATAATTCCAGGGACCTTAGAACTCTTGAACACTAATCGTTCCACTCATTCCTTACATGTTAACATTTTCTCTTATTTTACAGTCTCCATAGTGGTTGTTATTTCTGTACTGGCAGTACTTGTTTAGAGACCACGTCTGCCAGTTTCTTTGCTCACTGTTGCTTCTTTACAAAGCTGCCTTTTCTGGATTTAATTCCCTTCACTGAAGTCTATCAAAGTTCTTTCAGCAAAGATCATGAGTACAGTAAATTCTGTCTTTGGGTGAAAATGTGTTAATTCTACCTTCACTCTTAAATGATAACAGAATTATTTTTCTTCAGCATTTTGAAGCTACAAGTCCATTGTCTTCCAGTCTTTCTTGTTGCTTTCAAGAATTCTGCTTATAGTCAAATATTGCTTTGTAAGTAATTTTATCTTTTCTCTCTAGTGTTATTAGATTTTTATCTTGTTCTCCTGTTTGATTATGGTTTTTCCAGGTCTGTATTTATTTTTATTATCCCACTGAGACTTACTGTGGTTCTTAATCTGATGATGCGTGGTTTTCATTCCAGAAAATTTCTCAGCCACTGCGTATCTTTGATTGTGGCGAGACTTCCATTTTATGTATGTATATATTTATATTTATATATGTATCTACTCTCTCTACTTAATTTTGAGTCATTGCCACATCAAGTTCTCCCATATTTCATCAGTTCTAAAATATACCATTTTGTTATTTACACTTTAACCTTTCTGAAGTTGGGGTAACATGTTATAATTTAATTGGCAGAGTTTTTTGAGTATTATAACTTACTTGGCAACATTTAAAACTTTGTTGATACATAAAATAACGATACAACTAAAACATCAATCTTTAAGTTTTAAAAAGCAGTTCTTTGCTTGGCTATGTTAACCTCACAGCCATTGGGTTTGTATTCTGTTGATTGCATTTGAACTTTAGAAGTTCTATTTGGTTCTTTTTTAAATTTCCCTTTTTTCACTATAGTTGCTTTTCTGTTTGAATTTCAGTCCCTTTTATGTCTTGGTTTTTTTTGTTTTTGTTTTTGTTTTTTAAGTTATTTATCTTGGGAGAGACAGAGACACCATGAGTGGGGGAGGGTCAGAGAGAGAGGAAAGAGAGAATCCCAAGCAGGCTGTGCTGTCAGTAGGGCTCAAACCCACAAACCGTGAGATCACGACCTGAGCCAAAACCAAGAGTTGGACGCTTAACCCAACTGAGCCACCCAGGCACCACCCCCTTATGTCTCAGTTTTAAGCATACTGTTTTTATATATAGTTTTTTTGGATTGTTCTGTTGTCTGAAATTCTACTTCTCCTTTGTATTGTTAAGTGTTTCATACTAACTTGTTTCCTTGGCTCATTTCTAACGTTAGATAGCCTACAGCTTGTTTTTATAGGAGAATTCTGTGTTGCCTAAGACCAGTCAGAGTGCTTTTCCTACCTTCCACTTGGAGCCTGTGTGTGGAGTCTGATCATTCAGGGCTAATTTTTATGATAATTTCTCAGTGTGGATGTTCCTAGACTGAACGACAGCACAAATCCAGTCTTCGTGCCTGAGGGAGAGCCCCTGTGACCTTAGTTTTTTTATTTTTCAGGGGAGACCTGTTTACCCCCAGAGCACAGACAAGACAGACTTGGTCTTTAACTCCCTGTAGTAGTGAGCAGGATTTTTTTTCTTGTCTACACTTTCTGTGAGTGTACATCCTTTTGAGCGGCTTGGTTTCAGCGTGGACATGAACGCCGAGGCGGTACACGCGTCCCTGCCTCCCTGCCGTGTCCACAAGTGCACGTGTCCACGGTTGGCACAGACACCTCATGCTCCCACCACATATTTCCTGAGTTCTGACGGTTGTTTTTTTCTCTTTCTTACAATCTCAGATATTCGTTAAGCTGTTTTTTTTTTTTTTTTTAAACTGGGCTCTGTTATTTAGAACCGTTTTAAGTTTACAGAAAGCAGAACGTAGAAAGTTCCCATACACACATCCCCTACACACACAGTTTTCCTATTATCGGTACTTTGCATTCGTGTGGTACATTTGTTATAATTGATGAGCCTGTATTGCTACATTATTAATCACTAAAGTCCGTAGTTTATATTAAGGGTCATTCTTTGTGTTTATAGGCTTTGACTAATGCATAATGTCCTGTACCTACCATTACTGTATCAGACAGAATAGTTTCACCGCCCTGAAAACCCCCTGTGCCCCACCTGTTCATCCTAAACTCCCAAAGTCCCAGCAGCCACTAGTCTTTTTACTATCCTGCCTTTTACAGAATATTGTAATTGGAATCATACAGTATGTAGCCTTTTCAGACTGGCTTCTTTCACTTCGCAATATGCATTTAAGGCTCCTCCGTGTCTTTGTGGCTTAGTAGCTCATTTCTTTTTATGGCTGAGTAATATTCCATTGTGTGGTTGTACCACGGTTTGTTTATCCATTCATCTGTTGAGGGACATCTTGGTTGCTTCCAATTTGGGGCGATTGTGAATAAAGCTGCTAACAACAGTGATGTGCAAGATTTTGCGTGGACATACATTTTCAGCTCAATTGGGTAAATGCCTGGGAGCGCGTTTGCTGGATCCTACAGTGAAACTCTAGCTTTGTAAGAAACCACCAAACTGGCTTCCAAGATGGCTCTGTGATTTTGCAGTTCCACTGGCAATGAATGAGCGGTCCTCTTGCTCAGCATCCTGTCCATCACTTGATATTATCAGTGTTTTGGAATTTAGCTATCCTAGCAAGCATGTAGCGAACGGTACTCATTGTCATTTAAAGTTACAGTTCCCTAACGACATATGACGTTGAGCATCTTTTCATGTGTTTATTTGCCATCCGTGTATCTTTGAAGTGTGTGTTCAGCTCTTTGGCCCATTTTTTAATTGGGTTGTTTTCTTATTATTTAATTTTATGTTCTTTGTATATTTTGGATACACACTTTTTATCAGGGAAGTAGTTTGAAAATCTTTTGTCCTAGTCTGTGGCTTATATCTACTCTCTCTCTTCTCTCTCTCTCTGTCTCTCTCTCTCACTGTCTCTTTTTTTAAATGCTTATTTTTGAGACAGAGCATGAGTGGGGGAGGGGCATAGAGAGAGCGCCACAGAATTCAAGGCAGGCTCCAGGCTCTGAGCTGTCAGCACAGGGCCTGACCCACAGCTGGAACCCACAAACCATGAGATCATGACCTGAGCAGAAGTCAGATGCTCAACCAACTGAGCCTCCCAGGCGCCCTGGCTTATCTCTTCTCTTACCAGTGTCTTCCACAGGGAAGAATTTTTAATTTTGTTTTTCTTTATTGAGCATTTAAAACATTTTTTTTAGCTTGTTTTATTTTTTATTTTTTTTAATTTACATCCAAATTAGTTAGCATCTAGTGCAACAATGATTTCAGGAGGAGATTCCTTAGTGCCCCTTACCCATTTAGCCCATCCCCCCTCCCACAACCCCTCCAATAACCCTGTTCTCCATGTTTATGAATCTCTTCTGTTTTGTCCCCCTCCCTGTTTTTATATTATTTTTGTTTCCCTTCCCTTATGTTCATCTGTTTTGTCTCTTAAAGTCCTCATAAGAGTGAAGTTATATGATTTTTGTGTTTCTCTAATTTAGCGTAATACCCTCCAGTTCCATCCACGTAGTTGCAAATGGCAAGATTTCATTCTTTTTGATTGCTGAGTAATACTCCTTTGTGTGTGTGTGTGTGTGTGTGTGTGTGTGTGTGTATACCA